CACACACACACACACACACACACACACACACACACACACACACACAGATGATCCAATGTCTGCCTACCTTGACACCTTCCTTCATGCAGTAGATCTGCAGAGCACTCACACCATCTGAGAAGGGGTGAATTTGTAGATTAAATGGAGGGGATCTCCTCTCTCTCTCCTTGAAAAAAACATAAGAGGAGAAAAGAAGCAGTTAACTGATTAAACACTAACCCAGTTGTCTCTTTATACTGTTTCAGCAGTTTATCAATGTGTCATTTGGCCAAAAAAAGAAAAAGAAAAAACAAAAACCTCAAGATGTACATGCTTAAATGAGTAGTAAGGAATTAAGCAGTCCGTCAGCTGGAAATATGGGAGAAAATTTATGGACGGTGTCATCCATCCTTGAAGATTCTTGTTCAGGGAAATGTGGAAAGTGGAGGCGCAATTTAAACAGTATGAATATTTTATCCCCTTCAGATATCCTAGGGTGGGCTGGCTCTGAAGGGTTATGGTGGCAAATAGTCTCTGTACATTGATTGGGTCCTCTCATTCTTCATGAGCAAGATATGTAGGTTGCAGGGATCATTCGCCCTTCTCTCCTGGAGCACACTGATTACTAACTTTACCTCCAGACCTAATCTGAAATAAACTCAAGACAAATATCACTAGGAAAATAACAGAAAATTCAAACAGGAACTTCTCATCCCCTAGAGCCTCAGTCAGATTTTGTAGAATACAATGAAAGTGTGGCATGATACGTGTTTTGTTTAAAAAAAAAAAAACAAAAAACCAAATCCTCCAAAACAATCACCCCATGTTTGGCCTGATTAATCTAGGTATTTCCTAAAACCAGTCACCCAGCTGTTGGGAGAGCACAGTCCCTGTCAAGACAGTTCCAAGCTTCCTCTTGATTAATCATTACCAGTCACATGATGTAGGTAACATTTTTAAGGTATTTAGTCTCAGTTGTCACAGCTAGAAATTCCTGAGCTAACTCTGAGGTCCCATTGAGAAGATGACCCTGAATGCCTAATTCAGGCCCCGGGCCCTAACACGCTCTGTGCATGTCATGATCCTGACTTCATTAGCATCAGCATTTTCTTACCTCTAGTTCTAGGTTGCGAAACTCCAGCAGCTCATTCTGGTCTCTGGCATCTTGTAGTTCCTGCTGTAGACGGTGATTCTCTGCTTCCTGTTTCTCTATCTGGTAAAGTAAACCCTGGGGTTAGGTGAGCACAGCAAAGCAAGCATGGAGAACCTTCATCCACTCAGTGGGTAGGGTTTGCTCTGGACCATGACAACAATCCCCAAGGAGATGTGCTTAAGGTAGGCTTGGCTTTCCTTGTAGCCATCTTTCAGCTAATTTGGGGAGGCACAGAGACAAATGTCAGGAAGAACCTTTCTCTGAGCATGAGGGCTAGAGCTTCTGTAGACAGTGAATTTGAGACATATATCCTATACAGGTCAGACACAGTGTGCTGGGAACAGATTTAAGGATGTTTATGATGGCAATTGACACGCTTATCTCTGACGATTCCAGTTGTCACAGGAATAATATGACCATTAATTTACAGCTTACAATTAGAGAAGTTTATAGCTACAATCTAATCAAGTCGTGCCCATCTCCTCAAACAACCTTCTGTATGGTGATAAGATTTGCTGTATACATTTGTAGGAATTGTGAAATACGTAGTAATTGCTTGAAACTGCTCATACATACAAAATGTCAATTGCTGAATAGAGTGATGTGAAACTCCATAATATGGAATTCCAAACCTTAGAAAGCTGCTCACCACTTGATCGTTCAGTTTTAAATGTTATCAGTGTCATCTCTGCACAAGCATATGTGAACATGCGCGCGCACATGCGCGCGCGCGCGCGCGCGCACATACACACACACACACACACACACACACACACACACACACACACCACACACACACACACCTAGCAACCCCAATCAACCCTGTGATTCCAGGAGCTTTCTCTGTCCTCATCTACCTGGAAAACCCTCCTCTATCTTTTTTTTTTTTTTATTACAGAGGAAATCATTCTCTTCCCTGAATGCTAAGCTCTGAATTTTATATGAACCTCTGCTAGTCCAAAGACTCAGAAATGGCACCTCTTTCTCTGTTGTCCTGTGGGACTATTTGCTGTTGTTTCTTATTTGCTACTGACTGGTTGGTTTTCTAAGGCAGGGTCTCTCTATGTGGATCAGGCTGGCTCCAGACTCCTGGCCTCCAGTGATCTTTCTTAGTGTTTCTGTCGGGACTATAGTTACACAGCACCACACTATTGTCCTGTATGACTTTCTCAAAGGCATCCTGTACGACCTGATGAAGCATGAGACAAGGAGTTAAGTCAGATGTGCACCAATGTGCCTTCCCCTCAGGCAGGGATCATGTCTAAGACCCCTGTGGATTTTCAGGAAACTGATAGTCTTCATGTACTGCTTTCTTTGTCATTATCTATGAAGGAATCATTATACACAGGACAGTTTAAAAGTTTAAATGCAGAACACAAACACAGGGGCTTTAATTGTAGAGTTGGATCTTATTTTCCAAAACATATAACTGAAAATAAAATATTTAGCTTGCATTTTTTCTGTTTTCTGTGTTTGTGTGTTTCTGTTTTTTATTTAGAAGACATAGCTCGAATATTTCCCTTTGACAAAAACAAAAACAAAAACAAACCAGGAGACTAAAGGAAATCAGAAAACATCCTGGAATCAATTGCATGATAAAAGATTATAACAACACATCGTGGGACATCTCTGAGATTAGTAGAACAAGAGCAGCAGAGCAATGATGAGACATAAAAATGTGACATGTGACATTTATTAATATGATCAACAAGGTTTTTTTGTTTTTCGCCATGCATCTTGTCAACCTCTCTCTGTCTTTCTGTCTCTCTCTGTGTCTCTGTCTCTCTTTTTCTCTCTCTCCATCTCTCCCTCCTTCCATCTGTCTCTCTGTCTCTGTCTCCCTCTGTTTCTCTGTCTCTGTCTCTCTGTCTCTGTCTGTCTCTCTCTCTGTCTCTCTCTCTCTGTGTGTGTGTGTGTGTGTGTGTATACATATGCACACAAATATGGCTGTGAGTACCCCAGGAGGCCGGAAGAGGGTGTTGTATCCATTGGAACTGGAGTTGCAAGCACTGTTAGCCACTTGCTGTAGATGCTAGAATTGAACTCTGGTCCTCTGGAAGAACAGCCAGTGCTCTTAACTGCTGAGCCATCTCCAGCACCTCATCATAAACATCTGTAGTCTAATGAAATTTCAAGTTTTATTTTTATGAATTGGCTCAGGTTATAGAGGAGATTATCCTTCTTAGAATCTTATCAGTGGATCTGTGATGGGGTATTAGGGGAGATCACTGGATCTGGTGGCTACTGATACAATTAGAACAGTTGTTTACAGATTTTAATTCATTGATAGGGCTGACTTTTTCTCTTGTCTCTCCTGTGTTTCTGTTTAACTTTTTATTTGTTTTCTAATAGGGATTGAACACAGAGCTTTAGGCATGCCAGGCAAGTGCTCTACAACTGAATCCTCTTTTTCATTTTTTTTTTCTTCCAAAACAATCTCACTAAGTTACCCAGGCTAGCTTTGAACTCATGGTATAGTCTTAGGAGACCTTCAAGTTCTGATCCTCCTGCCTCAGGTGCTTGAGTAGCTAGCTGCTTGTGCTACCATGCCCACCTAATTGCATTTCTTTATAGAAGCCTTAAGGTCTGAATTTTGGGTACCAGCCACCTTCATACTTCAGTCCTGCCAAATCTGGAGAAAGACAGGATGCACTATCCTTGCCAAACTAGAGGTAAGAGGACAGCTTTTCCCTCCCACTTTGACATGGAATAGTGGTCAATTTGCACCAGTTACCAATGATAGAAAAGACTGGGGAGAACAATGCTAAAATAATTTCTACATAATTTTGAATTGACCAACAGAAAATTTTTGTATATTCAAAAGCTTTAAATTCTGTTTCTGTCAAGTACAAGATTATTATGTTTTAAATCTTTCACTTGACTGTAGAAAGAATGCACTGAAGGAACCTTGAACCTTTAACCTTGAAATGTTCTATGATGTTAAGTTGCCTCAGATCAAAAGCCTGTGGTTAATTATATCTATTGGTTAGAAGCATATTTTAGCTTGTTGACCAGTTTCCTGGACATGGTGTTTTTTGTTGTTGTTGTTTTGGATGCTTTTAAAAAACAAACCAATCCCTTCTTTTAAAAAGTAAAAGAAACAGCCAAGCTCAGCAAATAGATCTAAAAGTGAGAATATAGTCTGTGACAGTCGGAGCACAGATATATTCTGTCACTTTCTTACACAAAACAACATGTGCGGTGAGATTGCCTTTTTTAGGGGGAGGGCAGGTGAACAACCACACAGGAGATGCTCATGTGCGTGTATGTGCACGCACATATATATATACACACACACACATAGCGTATCTACAGCACATACATATGGTTAACAAATCGGCGGGGCACAGGGATCACGTCCTCACAGGTCTGCAGCCATGCACGGGTGCCACTTAGCTGATGGTGATGGCGGTGATGGGATGCAGCTGAGCACGCAGCAGAGGACAGAGCGGTGGTGGGAAAGCCTCCCCTTCCCTGGTCCCCTGTGCCACTCCTGAGAGCACCCCTGCTGCTCCTGGATCCTCATTTCCTCCTCTGCCCCACTAGGGTGGTGCGCCCAACATACCTTTTCTAAAAGCTCCTGGTTTCTCCTAATGAAAAGTTGTTTATCTTCTACCCAGTGTGAGTCCTGTTTGACAAAGAATATCGCGCAGTCAGCATTTCAGAGTGCCACGGAAAGAGAGTATGTGTCCTCAAACCAGTCGGCCAGAGCCATGCTAGAAATTTCCACCCAGTTTGCCTGCACAAGAGTTAACTGGTTCCGGTAAATGACACCCACCCTCGCCAGCTACTTTTTCAAGGATTCTGGGGGCCGAAGTCGCCAGGACAAATTAACCCTTGTTCATTGTCACTTACTAGCTCTATCTTTTCCAGTCTGAATAATCCAGGACCAGCCTTCTGGGGACTCAGAAGTGACCACACAGGCAAAAAAGTGAAACAGGTCAGAATGCACACAGGCTCGATACATATGGATGGAAAACATTAAAATGCAGAACCATATATGGAGCACAGAGGCAAAGAATGCAGCTGGTGGGGAGGGGGAGTGGAGAGCACTGCCCTAGCAGTCTGTGACAGCTCCTAGGCCTTGTCCCACTGAGCACCCCTTCCTCGCTCGGGCCTCTCTCTTGCCCAACTTCACTCACCGCTGTGGCTGGATTTGCACTCTGGGAGAATACCACCAGGGGCAGGAATAGTTTACATTCTGACACAGTCTGAGAAAGGTCACTGTGGTGAGCCAAGCCATGTCCCGGGTGTGGCCCATGCACGGGGTGAGCCAGACAGAGGAGAGTCAGCCTGAACCAGCTGCATCTGCAGAAAAGCTAGCAACCGGGCACCTACCTGCCCTTTCTGAGCTAGTGTCGCCTCCAGATCTTCGATTTTGGCCTTGTATCTCTGCACCTCTGCTTGGAGCTGCTCTTGTGCCTGGTGAGAGCAAAATCCCAGAGTTCAGTGAGTAACATGGCCATGGCCATTCCTAGTGCTCAGCAAAGTCATTTGTGTAGGGGAAGGGTCTTCAAGAACAAAAGTAGTTGAAGTTGCCTTCAGGATCGGAGAGGATCTAGAGTCTTGAATAAACTTCCCACGGTGGTATCATTTGTTATCACACCAACAGTCACGCTCTCTAGCCAGCCATTTAAAGGACTGTCACACTGCAGACTCCACCTAGATTTCACCTCTGACCTGAGGTGACATTGCTGTTTGCCAAACCCTTGATGGCAACTCACTGCTGCTCTCTCTATTTAAAGGAACGCCCTTTCTGAGGGAGAAATAAGTCTTATTTGCCTCTTTAAGTTTCATTGTTTCTTTCAGAGCCAACTTTGTGCTCTGATACCTAAATCTAAATTAAAAACATTTAATTTTACCATTCATTATATATATATTATATACTATATATATATGCTATATATATATATACTATATATATATATACTATATATAATATAGTATCCTATGCAGTATGAAGGGCTAGCAAATACTGACAGTGAAAAACCTCAAATATAATAGTATTGAGGAAAATACATGAGCATAAGAGAACATCTCTTTCTGAAGATGGCTTGCCTGTCTGTTCAAATCAAAGTTTACTCTTTAACATTTACCCGTGTGTGTGTGTGTGTGTGTGTGTGTGTGTGTGTGTGTGTGTGTGTGTGTGTGAGACTTGTAGTACCTGTCTACCTTCTAAATGACTACAGGTAGTTGCTGTGGCCCCTCCCAGCATGTTGTGGTCCCTTCAAAGAGAAAAGTGGGGCACCAGCATGACAGAGACATGCTCCTTCTTGTCCCTTGCCAAAGTCCGTAAGGCAGGCTCTTTAGGTGGTTCTGACTCTGCAGCTTAAGGGCTGGGTTGAGGTCCCCGAATCAGGATGCCAGGTAAGTAATTTAGCTTCGACTGAATGAATGAATAAATAATTTCCTGTAGTGGGTAGCCATTCCAACTTGGATCTGGAAGTTCCAACCCCCACTGAGGCTTCGGTAACGGTCACGCCTACATGGCGGGGCCAAGGGAGGACTCTGAAGACCCGAGATCTCGGATGCGCTGGCTCTCTTGGTTCCTGGACCCAGGACGCTGAAGGTAGACCGAGCAGAGTTCTCCAGAGAACACCGTGGGACTGGGCTATACCTTTCCCATACCTTGTTACCTATCCCTTCACTTGTAAGTTACCCCACAAAATAAACCTTCTTTTTAACTACATGGAGTGGCCTTAATAATTTCACCAATAATTTCCTTTCTTCCTACCTTCCTTCCTTCCTTCCTTCCTTCCTTCCTTCCTTCTTTCCTTCCTTTCTCTCTCCCTCCCTTCCTCCCTCCCTCCCTCCCTTCCCTTCTTTCTTTCTCTCCTCTGTCCTTCCTTCTTTTGGTGAAAGGCTTATAAGTAACAATTATGATGTTCTAGAAAGAAATTAGAGTCAATATTTGAGCAGTAATCCAAGCTTTACCACATACTAGCTGTGTGACCTTGGGCAAGTCCATTGATCTTTCTGGGTCTTAAATTCTCTTATAAAAACATCTACCTTAGGGATCTGACACAAAGGTTCATTCAAACATTAACTGTGAAATTCTTAGTGAGTTGTAAATGCAATGTTCTGCACTTGTTAATTAAGAAGAGAATGTGACTTAATCATTACTTTTGAAAAATAAAGTAATTACTATTTTTAAGCAAGGAACTCAAAAAATGGATCATCAAAATCCAGTATGGGCTAGAAAATGTAAGTTTTCAAGGAGTGAAAATAAGAAACACACACCCAACTATCTTTAAAGGAACAAAAGCATTGATCTGTACTGGTTCTTATGTGTTTAGAGCTGCAGTTTGTTAGAATTAAACAGAAAACAGTTCAAAAGCCTCAGATGATGAAAGGGCACAGCTGTGCTGCTGACATCTTAATGTCCTTGATGATTTGGAATGCAACTTCTGCAAGCTGATTCCAGGCCCTCATGCATGTCCAGACTCACCTTGGCTTCTCTTTCAGCATCTATAATGCCTCCAGTCTGCTCCTGCAGGAGGGCATATGCTCTTTGGAGGGCTTGATATTCTTTTGTTAATTGTCGAAATCGTAGCTCAGATTCTTCAGCAGCTAGACTCTGGGGGTTTGAAATGCAAAAAGTCCAAAAGTAATTATGTTGTGTTCATGTCCTATGTTCTGTGTGAAAATTGACATTTGCCCACTCTTGTAAAGAAGTTATAATTTATTTTATTTTATTTTTAATTCTGAATTGTCAGTAAGAATGTGAATTAGAATATGTTCAATGTAGATGCTGGAAAAACATGTAAGACATTGTTTTAATGGAGGAAACAATTATTTATTTTTACATTAATGATTACTTCCCATTTGGCCTCAAATAATTCCCAATTTTAGAAGTCATACCCAAAGTTTGGATCTAAATTTCAGGCAGATACTTAAAGCTTTACTCTTATTTCTTCCCATGCATTCAGATACATAAATAAATCATTAGTTTGTGGTTATAATTCATCCCTAATAAATCATAAAGCTCAGTCTCAGAACTTAGATTTGGGGCATAATTCAATCATCACCAGAGAATTTGGTAAAAAATACGGAATGAGGAACTGGGGATGGAATTTAGTTGTTAAAATGCTTGTCTAGCATGCACAAAGCACTGATTCACTCCCCAGCATCATATAAATATAAGTATATATATATATATATATATATATATATGTGTGTGTGTGTGTGTGTGTATGTATATATATATGTGTGTATATATGTGTGTGTGTGTATATATATATATATATATATATATATAGAGAGAGAGAGAGAGAGAGAGAGAAAGAGGAGCTATATATTATGTATATGTGGAGGATTTATACATATGTATGGAGGAGTTGTGATCACCCGAAATTTCAGAACTTGGCAGGTATAGGCAGGAGGATCAGAAGTTTATGCTTACCTTTAGCTGTTTAAAGGGCTTGGGGCAGCTAGCATTACATGAAACCCTGCTTATAAAAAACAGTGTGGACTGACAGGTTTCACTTCCCTAACCCTGACTTAGTAGCTATGTTCAGTGTAGCTGAAGCCCCTGGATCATTCTGATGAAGGTGGACCACAGAAGACAAAGTTTACTTTAACGCTGCTTTAGACTGAATCTAGAAGCCTCTTGGGCTTGCTCTGCCTTTCACACTTTCCACAGATGAAGATTTTTGGGAAGTCACTTTTATTTTGAGATGAGTAATAAAATTATAGAACTACACCGAAGGTTTGAGAGGTCTCTAGAGAGATTCCATGGTATATGTGATGCTTACTTCCCAGAGTTATGAAAGTGGATCGTGATCTCAAGGTTGGTCACTGTTACAAGATCACTATGTGTTTTTCCTTCTCCGTAGAGGGAAGATTTCATGACAATGTTATACAGGACCAGAAGAAAGAAAAAGCTTACTTCATCTAAGTCATCATCGGGAGTGGCAGGTGTCCGATCTGTTCTAAAGGAGGCCATGGATGATGTTTCTGAATCCATGGAGTCCTCATCATAGCCAATGAATGGATCCAAAACAGGCCTCTAAGTGGAGAGAAAGTATAAACTTACTAATAGTATGACCCAAACTGGTGAAAAATGTCAGATACAGATGAGCAAGGAGATCACGGGGTCTCTAATGGTTCTTTGGTGAAATACAAACACTAGGTAGGAACACAATGCCGATCCATCTCTTCTCCGTGTTTTTTTTCCCACTTCTGACATACTCAAAGGAAATGTATGAACATTTGGCTGTCTTCTACAGTCATCATAATATGTTCACAGTACCTTCTATGTCATGATGAGTCGATGCATCTTTAGTTTGGCCTAAGGGGCTTTGAAAATTAAGGGCTTCCTTGTAAAGGAGGTCATGGGGTTGTAACTCTAGTCCTCCAATCCCACATCGAAACCAAGTGACATACATGGTAAAAAGCAAACACAGAAATCAAAACAATGAGATGTGGTGCACTTTTAAGGGGCTATAAAAATAATGGTGGACTGAATGTCATTATCAATAACACTTCCCAAATGATGATAATTTAATCATTTAATAAACTCATTAATCAGTTATAGGACAGATATCAGAAACTAATATGATTCAATGGAAGATATCGATCATGTATGTCTCTTACACGTTCTTTGAATATAACCCACCCACTTGTCAGAAAGACCTACTAACACTAAACCAACTGGCTTTCCTATTAGAGGAAGTCATAGCCTTTCAGGTTAGGACACAACAGCACAGCCATTTTCAGACTGAGAAACGTCAAGAGATTTTTTTTTTTTTTTAACAAGTAGTGCTCAAAATAAAATAAAGGAGAAAAAAAAAAAAAACAAGTAGTGCTCATGGTTTGTGGCAGTTCAAGAGCATCTGATTTATCACATCTTTGCAAGAAGGTTCCTTGGCAGGACTCCCCGTCCTTGCTCTTTGTGGCAAATGCTCCATAAAAGTTTCCTCCTTACCTTGATTGGCTTTGAGCTTCTTCTGTGCTTTCTCCTACGGATGAGTTTTTCTCGATCCTAGAAAACAGATGAGGACTTTTCAGATCGAAAGTAGCTGAACGTCTCCTGATAGCTTTGCTGTCACCTTCTTCTGCCCAGAGGCTGGAAGAGGACATTGGATCCCAGAGCGCCTCTAACGGTGGGTTCAGGGACTAGAACTCACCTGCTGAGCTACCTCTGTGGCCCCTGGTTTTGTTTTTCAAGGAGACATTTGTTCTCCCCTGAGAGGTGATGTATTTTTATTTTGAAGTATGATTTTATTTTACCAATTTGGTAACATTTGGATATGATGTACCAATATTTTCAGAGGATGTATATTGTAATCTCCCTGCCATTTGATCAGGAAAGGAAGTATGCTGCGTTCCTTCATTTTATACCTGGAAACAGAGTCCCACAAAGAACAGTTGCTATGCTTTCCAATGCCCAAATTTACTTTGCATTTGTGGTGAGAAAAAAATTATTTCTAATTAAAATTCACTTTTATTTTTTTTTACATTGTGTCATTTCATAGCATAGGCAGGTGTCCCTTGACTATTTTTAGAACTTTGTTTCTAGTCTGCAGCTGGTAAGGATGGGACAGGAAGCACAGCATCTACTCGGTTGGAGTCACCTAGTTTTGCTTGTTTTATTTTGGGGAGAGATGGCGGTGGTTTTCTGAGAAACTAGGTGAATACCTACAAACTGTGTTCAACTTTGTGACTCGCATGCTGTGAGCATAGATACTGGAACAACTTGGGATTTAATCATTAAGTACTCTGTGTTTTTTACTGCAAATATGAGCTACATGGAACTCCCCGATCAAAGGTAAACTTATAGCTTAATTTGAGGGCGTTCAAAGCCAGGTATATCCCTAGACCAGTGACTTCATGAGATTTAGGAGTCATCAAGGTGGGAATGAGGCTTCACACTACATTTGAATATAATTCAAAACATTGGCATTTAGACTTTATTTTTTGCCTTGATATACAAAAATATTTTGATCATGCATCCTCCATATAGCTGAAAATTTACACATTGTATACTTAAATTATGCTCTTAATCTAGGGGGTACACATTATAGCATATATGAACAATGGACATTTTTTTTTTCAAGACAGAGTTCCTCTGAGTTCCCTGGCTGTCCTGAAACTCAATTTGTAGACCAGGTTGGCCTAGAACTCACAGAGATATCTCTGCCTGCCTCTGCCTCCTGAGTGCTGGGATTAAAGGCATACGGCACCACTACCCAGCAACACTGGACAATTTTTAAAGGGTGAGTAGTAATTAATTACACACAGAAGTAGACTCCTTTGCTCCCAATGGCAGTGAGTCAAAGTTCACCTATTCTAAAGACTATTGTGTAACAGCCCTCCTGCCCCCATGATTAGTTCAAGTCTACAGGCTTTGGCTTATCCTTGAAATAAGAAGAAATAAAGATGCCATTCACAGAGTAAAGGCAGAGAGGTGAAGGAGAAAGCCTGCAGGCTTCAAGAGGTCTTATTCCACCATACTGGTCACAGGACTTCAACCAGATGCAAATGGGGTGGCAGTGATCACATAGTCAGCAGGTACCGAAGTATCTGTCAATCAAGTGTGGACTGGAATTCCTGCTCTATTACAGAACTATGATGCTGTTCTTCACTCACAAAGCCTTTCTAATGGACTGTATCTATGTGCTATGCACTGATTAGGTGGTAAAAACAAGGAGTATATGGTCTTGGTTTTGTAGGCAAATTGAATTGCTGAGCCTTACAAGCCCAACAGTGGAAAACAATTACAAGATATATAGATTTACCCTTACATACATAACGTAATTACATCACAATGCATCTGAAAATTCCATTAACGTGGCTTATATTTTTGCTTCTAAACTAGTTAGCAAATGGTTAGAACTGAACGGTATAAATAAGCTTAATAATATAAAACATTTTGTTCCTTGTATAGAGTTACATACTGAGCACACAAATGTGGGCATTTGGAGTTAATCTAAAACTATTGAGTGCTTCCTTAAACATTGGTTGTTGGCTACTCATCCTTGAGAATATCTAGAAGTTTGTAGTGGGTTCACCTACCCTGGTGAGCTCGTCAATGATGTTCTGCTGCTCAATGACCTGCAGTTTGAGAAACTCGGTCTCTTGTTCTTCATTAGCTTGGTCAAGGTCATTCAGAGACTTCAGTTTCTTTAAGGGCGGGTGAGATGTTATTTTCTCTCTCTAAATTGGAGAAGAAGACATTACAAGTGGAAACCTTAAAAATTGCCAATTTTAGTCACTGGTAAATTTTTACCCTTAAGTACATTTTATCTGCTATATTACATTGAAGTCCTTGGCAACGTTTTGGACATTTCTATAGCTATCTTATCTCAGAAGTCTTTTCAGGAATGCACAATCACATCAGTCATCCATGAAGAATACTAGCCATGATATTGATTTCTCTACTATCAAACAAATTAGAAGGCAGGCATGGGCTAGATCCACATTTCTGTGGCTCAGGAACCACGCTGAGGCTTTGCTTCTCCATTTGCCAGTGTTTGAACAGTGAGTGCATCCCTGGAAGACTTCTCCAGTTCCACAAGGTTAAAAACCCCAGACAATCCAGAGGCAGGCCCTTCTCTTGCTTTCTTCTTCATGTTTCCTTGCTTACTCAAGGGAAAGTTTAACCAGCATATAAGATACAACCTCAGGAAAAACCAGTAGGTCACGGGGCCCCAGAGGAGGAGGCTGCAGCTTCCGAGGAGGAGGAGTCCGTGATACACACCATTTCCGAGTTTTCCTTGGTTACGGCTTTTAGTTTCTCCTCCATGCGCTGCAAGGACACCATCAGTTCATCGTTTCTCTTGGCGAGGCACTTGTTCCTTTCCAGGAGAGGTTTGCATTGTTTTTCGGTTTCCCGCACACGTTTTAACTGGAAATAAATGAATCAAGATTTATTTTTGGTATCTTGAGGGGAGGAGGGCAGGAGGGGTCAAGTGTGAAAGAGGGGAAGTGGCCCTGCAGCCACCCAGCGTGTCCCAGGATTAACACTACATTCCTGTCCTCATTTAACCAATCCATCTTTTTTAGTTTCCTCTAATGGATATTCTCTTTTCCTCCCTTCCTTCTTTTTAATAGGATTTTGCTGTGGAGTGCTAGTACGCTCAGAACTTACTATGTATAACTAACTAGCATGGAACAAACAGGAATCCTCTTGTTTCTGCCTCCCCAGGCCTGTGATTAAAGGCCATGAGCCATGGTGGCCTGCGCTAGCGCCTTTTCAACATAATCTTCACATCCTGTCCTGTCTGTTAGCTTAACAGAGGTGCCAGAGATGCTGCGGTTGGATGATGACACATGATGCTGCTTACTTCCATCACCTCACTCACTCATGCATGTCCAAACCCATTCCCTGGCCTAGGAATGACCACTCATTGGCTCAGGAACATATAGACGCACATTTGAACCTCATGGTCACCAGAACCTGGTTCCAAGCCTCATCCTCTCCAACTGCATCACCTCCAAAAAAGGTCTTGCTGAAATCTCCTCACTCTCAGTAAGGCAGTTTATGTTTTTCTGTTACTGTTGTCATGGGGCCTGCCCTATATTTCACAGGATGTTGAGTGGCATCCCTGCCCTCGGCTTGTTAATGACAGTGATACTCTGTGATGCACTATGATACAGTGATATACTACGATGACTACATATGTTGCCCAAATTGCCTTTAGTTTAGAAGCTAAACATTCGAATGTTGTCTGTAATCATCAGCAGCCCTTCCTTTCATTTTTCAAAACACTTCTGTTTAGTTGATGTATTATAGGCCAAGCTATATAGACAGATTGGATTTCCATGTTGAATTTCTAATAGTTAGCTTATTCCTTTCCTATATTTCAAAACTCATCACTCCTCTTATCCAATTTATGATTTGGAGAGATACTGAGGGGGGAGGAGAAAGCGACCATGATTGACCAAAAAAAAAAAAAAGAAAGAAAAGAAAAAGACTCTGTGATTCTTAGCACTCCTCCAGGCCCATCCTAATCACAGTTTGAAAACTACAGTTTCATGGCAATGACAAAAACATGGGATTTACTTTTCATAAATAATCTGGCACAAGTCCTTTTGAGTTTTGGTGTCTGAATCGTTGATAACAGATTTTGAGTACATATAAAGACAGATTATTCACTGGGTTTATTATTGCAATCTTAATCTCTTCTGAAGGTTAATGCCCCATGCGTTATATATATTTAAGGCTGCTTGGTGAATACTATTCATGCACATAAGTATGAGGAGAAAGAACTGTCCAATTTTAGCCCAGCATTCAATCACCACAGTTCCAAAGCACCCAACAGAATGCTTCTTCAGAAAGACAGGCCTTAATATATGAAAGAGACTGAAATTATACACGTATGATGCACATATATTAATAAACAGAGATTCATGTAGATACTAAGAAGTCCTGTTATAGTTTAACTAATAATAGATTGATCTGAGGTCAAGGAAAGAAAATATTTTATAATCATGAAAGGGCTGATATTTCAAAACCATTAGTGAATATTAATTTATAACTATCAAGTAACATAACTTCAAATATATATAAAGAAAACTGGACAGAACTAAGAAGAGACACAGACAAATTTGTTGAGATAATAAATAGACAAAAAAAAATAGAAGTATATAAGAAAAAACTTAAAACAAGGCAATAAACTTAAATGAAACTATAAGTAAAGATTATCGAGCACACCTTTCTCTCCTGAGAATATGAGATATTTCTAAAAGTGACTGTACTGGTTGGTTTTTTGCCAACTCAACACAAACTAGGGTCAACTGAGAAGAGGGAACCTCAATTGAGAAAATGTCCCCTGGATATTGGCCTGTAGACAAGCCCGTGAGGCGTTCTCTTGATTAATGATTCGTGTGGAGGGCCCAGCACACTGTGAGCAGTACTGACTCCTGATAAATGGTCCTGGGGTGTCTAAGAGAGCAAACTAAGTGAGACAGGGTCGGCAAGCAGGTCAGCACCATTCTTCCACAGTCCCTGTTTCAATTCCTACCTTGACTTCCCATCATGATAGACTGCGATCAGAACATGTAAGACAAATAAACCCTTTTCTCCTCAGATTGCTTTTGGTCATGTTGTTTCCTCATAGCACTTGAAAGCAAATGAAGACACTGACCCTATGTTATGCTCTAAAGGAAATCATAATAATCCCAAAGGAACAAAATGTTGCAAAGTATGGTGAATTCAAAAGAGTAACCAGTAACAGAAGATAATTAACAATCTCTAGATGTTTAGAAATTGAGCCACACTTTCTGGAAGAAGTTGCATGATATTATTTAAAAATTAAAATGAAATAGCAACTACATTATAACATGCAAAACTTGTGAGAGATGCCAAGAATAAGGTCTAGAGAGAAACAATGGCCTAAATTTAAGGAAAAGGCCAAAATCACTTTTTCAGAAACAACTGCATCACAATATAAACTACAGAGCAGTATGTCTAAATGTCTAATTTCAAAATGTCTTAATGTTAATAAGAAAATAAAGCAGAACAGAGAAAGAACAAAATGCTGAGGACAGATTGTAAAGGAAGCCCAGTAATCCAGCCAGCAGATACTTGACAGCTTCCCCAGCCTCATTAGAAAAGATACAAATCAAAACAAAAATCAGAAAAAGAGTACACCTCATGGCCACAAAAATGGCTGAAGTGCGTGATCATCTGTGCGTGTTGGCAAAGATGTGGAAACACCAAGGCCCTCACACACTGGCACTGGGGGGCTAAAGTGTCAGAGCAACTTCAGGAACCAGCTGACCACATCTCAGGATCCAAATCCCTGTGCTCAGGGACAACAGGCACTTTTTTTCATCACAGATACCTCACAGCCGCAGTCTTAACAGCTTAAACATGCTTAGAAGCTCCGTAAATACTCCCTAAGAATGGCTGCATATATTGCAATATGTTAACTGGATGCTATAGAGGAACGAAAGAGAACAGTTTCACACACAGCTCAAGGGAGATCCTCACGGGCAACGCTGACTGAGCCAAAGCAGCCAGGCACACAGGCATAAGATGCAATAATGTTTTAAAAATTAATTACAATAGATACCTATATAGAAATCAGAGTGGTGTCATCGTTAGGTGGGTGTTGGATTGGAGGGAGGGGTCTCGGTCATTTTCCACTTACTCACTTGGAAGGTAGTTTTGTGGGGCAGCCACTTTGTGAGGATTTAGCATGATGGACTGTTATTTCTTGCTCATTTTTCTCTCATGATAAACTACACAACTTAATGCATACTTTTATAGCCTACATCTAACAAAACACACAATGAAAAAGAGTTTGGTTACAACTTACCAACTCGTTCCGCTCATCTCCAAGCAAGGTGTTCCTATCTTCTAGCTTTCTTATAGTAGCATTCAGTTCAGCTATTCTCTTTTGATTTCTTCGCAAATCCTACACGTGAGAATTAAAACAAGTATCCCTTCAATAAGACTTTTCAAAGACTGGAACACCATTCATGAAAACAATAGGCTCTTTTCTTCCAGTGTGACCCAGGAAGTGACAGGTGGATGTTCTTTTACGAAGAAAAGACTAGTTACCCTTTCTAACTCTTAATATTTACTGCTGGATTGAAGATCAAGCCGGGTTAAAACCACAGACGAATTCCATGTGGCAGACACACCCCGGAGCCCAGACTTGCGGTATGGAAAGTGACAGAAGGTTGAAGTAGTTTAACAGAGCTGTTTGCCCTGTGACCAAGGTGAGGTGTGAAGTTCAGGGAACATCCTTTTGTCGCACACGCCCATTGCTTGCTGCCTGCCATTATACTTAACCAAAGAGGAGGCAGATTAGGATGCAGACATGGGGCTTTGTGAATGTTTATATACTCCCAAAGAAAAAAGCCACTGTGAGGAAACACATATTACCTTCATGTGCCAAAGCAGGGTGCACACTATACTCTAGAATAAACTATTTTGTACAGTATACCAATTATATGAATCACCTCACTTACACACAGCAGTTACAGCTTAATTCTGTAGTATAAGCCCACTCTGACTACATGCTTGTGATTCTATTGCTGTTTTTCATTTTGCTAGTGGTTCACTGTTGATGGAGCAGTTCCACATGTATTGAATCCCCAGATTCATCATATTCTCAAGGATTCAGCAGAATAGGCTAAACTGAGGGTGGTTCTATGTTAACCTGGGTCTTGTGGAGGATAGCAGTAATCAGAGCTACAAAAGCTAACTGTCCCAAATACCAGGCTCTACTTTCTCTGTATCATGTTTTCTAGTGCATAGATCAGCCTCACAGAAACCAACATGCCCTTCATCTTATGGATAAAGATACTGAACAGGGAAGTGGTTTGCATAAGGCCACTCAGCTAATGAATTTGAACCAAGGGGTCTAACTCTAAAGTCTATCTGGGGGGTGATTATGCTAAATCACATATAGTTATTAACAGAAGAACTAAAATTTCCATGTGCTGCATCTTAGATCAGTATTTATTTCCCACTGCCTACTAGTGTGTGTGTCCTGTAAACCAATTCATTACTTTGTTCTACATCATACTTTGGAATTAAATTTTTTTTGTTCCTAAATAATACATTTGCATCTTTTTTTTTCCGCACATAAATCATTTGATAGCCCACTACATGCAAGCTTATGTCTGTCATTGTACCTCTGAACATAATTTCTCATATGAGACGATGATACTCCAGTGAAGTAAGTGGCAAGTTCATTCAGACTGGAAGCTTTCGTGCTAATGGCTATAGATGATTCTTTCTTATAGGCGCACACTCCAACCTCTGTAGAGGATAACTGTCTTTGTCAATTTCTAATCCAATTGTTCACACATAGGGAAATTACCAATTTTAGCAACAGGCAAATATTTTCACTTAACTTATGATTCTTATAATAGATTCAAGTTTTGATGGATATCACTGGGCTGGAAAAATTCTGTGAAAGATTCAAAGACACCTACAGCTCTCACGTGACCTGCTGATGAAGCACAGCCCACTTTGTTGTCTGCGAGTCTAGAGAAGCCTTGTTCCCAAGATACACGCTGGTTTTATAGTAGGAGGGAGAATTGATTTCTTTGTACTTATAAATAGGAAAATAGCTTATGTGAAAAGCAGAACTTGAGTGCTAAATAAAAGATCACTCCGGAGTTGTTAAACCTCAACTCGAGTGAACTCACCGGGCTGCTACAGTGTTCAGAGCCATCTCCTGCCCTTCCTGGAATCTCTCTCTTTGGGCTGCTCATGTTACACTCCGCCTCCTTCACCAGGAAGAGCTGCTCATCCAAAGCCTCCTTCTGCAGCTGGAGTTTCTGGACATAGCCTGTCTGAGTCTCCAGTTCCTTTTCCAGGGAAAAGATGATCCTGTCCTTGGCTTTGATTTCATCCATCTGAATTAAATGAGACCCAGGACAATTAATTTAAATATGCTATAAATAAATCCCACTTTCACTATGGGAAGTCCACCTCTTCTTGTGATGATTCAGGAAAAACAGTCTTCAGGAATCTGGCATGTGTACTGGAACTCATGAATAACATGAAGCAAACACTGAGTAATAAATGGCTCTCTCTCTCTCTCTCTCTCTCTCTCTCTCTCTCTCTCTCTCTCTCTCTCTCCCCCTTCCTCCCTCCCTCCCTCCCCCTCTTTCTCTTTGATATCTCCTGTATGGTGTTGTCCTTCCATATAGTGTTTGAAATGGTCTGGGTTGGCTAGGAAAGACAAAATTTAAAATGGACCAGTAGCTTTAATATAGGTAAATCCAGAATATTCCATTATGATGTTTCTTGGGACAAATAAATTACTACTGTCTTTTTCGGAGAACAAGCATTTGGTCTTGATCCTAATACTAATTGCTACTATCAGCCAGTCATTTGCAACTGGAGGAACCGCGGGCTTCCCAGTACTGGTCTTCTGATTTTCCAGGAATGTCAATTCTGGTGGCATCTGGAGGGGCTCTTCCAGCCGTTCCTGCTGTGTGGCCTTTCCTTTCCTTCCCACACTTCAAGGCAGCCAGCCTTAGCCATCATTCTACCATTACTGTCAGAAAAGCATCATTGGGACTAGGAGAGGGATTAAAAATGCTTGTTAATGTCAGTCAAAATGTTTCTTTGTATATATGTGGCATAGAGTTACTGATTTCAGCACTCATTTGTTCTGAGCTTGGATGTGGCCTCAAATATGTTAATTTTCAACTTAAGGCACAGGTATCGGGTACCAGTGGATTAGAGTTCCACTGGACTGGAACCAGTTTGCTCTCCTTAGATGAGGAATATCTGATAAATGAAATGAATGTCTGTAACAATTTTTCAAGAGATTATAGACACTGGGTAGAACCTTTTGTCCCGTTTCAATATATTCTATGTGATTACTTAAAATGGAAAGACATTTAGCACTTTCTCCTTTCTCATATTTAATGACTCACTTAGTGTGCTTCTGTGCTGTGCTTTTTAGTTGAGCTAGAGAGCATAAAATCATCTGCTTGCAAAGTCCTTCATTTCCCACACACAAATGCCTGCCTATTAATTCTAGGTTACATGACTAAATTTTAGGTCAACATCAGGAGACCACTGGACTGACGTGTGCAATGTCCTGTAACATCACCCGATAACTGACGAGGATTGAAACAGTGTCCTGTTGATTTGGGAGAGACTATCTGCTGCATTTCCTTACTCCTTCAAGAAGGCTGAGTTGTGTTAAGCTGAGTGCTCATTCATCTGTCAGAGTTGATATGCACAGTGTTGGCTGCAGCTTAATGAAGCTTGTAAACTGCATGTTCCTGATTGCTTGTGATGCCTTCTAGTTAATGGCAGATGCTGGACTATCAGCTCATTAACACCCGAGTGGAGTCATCCTTACCCTCTCTAGTATTAAACATAAAATCTTCTCATCTTTTATAGTATTGGAAGCACTATAGTTATGCAAGTTATCTCACTTTCTAATAATGCCCTGTTTAGTAGGTTCCATGATTACCATGTACCAGATGAGGTACATGAGTATTTGGTCATTGTTCCCTGCCTTGTGAGTGATGAAATCTTGATATTTTAACTTTGTCTTCTGAGCCCAGAGCCCACTTATCAAGCACTGTGTTATACTGGCTCCAAGATTATTCACTTCTTCTCAGAATTTTCCAAAGTGGGTCCCTGTAGAATATCTAGCAATAGAGGGGACTGACTCTATTATACAGTGGTTGTGAACACATAATCTGATTCTCAGAATGTTGCAAAGTTAACCAGTGCTCCGGTTCATGGATGAGAAGGAATATGTTGCAGAATTCTTTGGTAACATTTTCTAGAAAGAGCGGATCTCATTTCTTTCTCTCCAGGTCCAAAAGTACATAGGAGCGTGAGGGGAGGGGTAGGAAAGGAAACTGAGAAAGTGAAGACAGGGACACATACATTAGAGAAACACTCCCCCATCTTAGTCTGTCTGCACCCAGTGTTTGAGCCACTCTTTGGATGGTTTAGATTTCAGGTGGTTGCTTGGGAGAATCTCGTGCCTAGGTCAGCAGTGTTCTTAGAAAGAAGTACTGGGAGAACTTAGGACTAATTTGTAGATTTCACACTGAAAAAGGCAAGCAACAATATTTAATTCAAGGCTTTCTGTTAACTCACCTACCTGATTGCTCCACAGTTCATAGTCTTGAATCCTTCTTCATCAACCACGGCCATTTTGGAAACCAAGAGCAGGGCAGAGACCACAGTTTCTGCGCTGCCTTTGGCTTCCATCGTTAAACAGCACAGCAGAATGAACTGCAGGAAATTCCTCAGGAAGCATGGCAGAGGCAGCATTTTACAGTCACAGCATTACTAAGAAAATGACGCATGCTTAACTGGTAAAATGGTCTATGGGAACACATTTTGCTCAAAGTGGAAATCCTAGAGGCATCATCCAAAGCACCAACGTGGAACTCCTAGGAAACGGTTATTGAGGATTGGTACACCCAAGAGGGAAAGCACGGTTTTCCTGAATAGCACCCTGCTTGGAGAGGTGGTTCTCAACCTGTGGGTCACGACACCTTGGGGGGGGGGGGACTGAGCAACCCTTTCACAGGGGTTGCATATCAGATGTCCTGCATATCAGATATTTACATTATGATTCATTACAGTAGCAAAATTACAGTTATGACATAGCAATGAGATGATTTTATAGTTGGGGTTCACCATAACATGAGGAGCTGTATTAAAGGGCCAAAGCCTTGGGAAGGTTGAGAACCACTGACTTAGAGAAACATAGTGTTAAATACATTCTAAAAAGTTTAAGCTAATCCTCAACTTTTGGACATAGATGAGTATAAATTTTCCTTCTAAGATCATAGGATGTTATAGCTCTTAGAACATGCATTAATTTATTCATTTTAGCATTATGAGATATCTGTATGGCTGTTGGTTTTTCATGTTAAAACCCAAAAACCAAACCAAACCAAACAAAACAAAAGCCAGTTCTGTGTGGATTGAACTAAAGAAAACTATAAACAGCAAGGAAGCTATTTGTGAATGACACCCAGTTAAAAAATAGAATGGCTCATAACAAATATTCCTTGATTATTTTGAGGAAAGGAACCCATTCTTAAAATGACCAGGAATTTTATAGTTCCATGTTTGCATTGATGAATCACTCAGGATGTTTTCAACAGCGGCCATTTTCAGACAAATTGTGGAAACACCTCTTTGTTCTGTAAAATACTCCAGTGGAGTTTTTACAGCTGGGAAGCCCACAAAAAACAAGCTAAGGTTGGAATGGCTTGTAATTTACAATCTTTTCATGGACTAACCAAGAATACAGGTCGGTGCATGAACACCTGTGCGCCCCGGAGAATGCACTTACTGTGAAAATGAGGACTGGAAAACCTCTTACATTCTACAACTCCGACCAAACTACCTATCAATCTACCTTGCGTTTTGGAAAGCGCAGCCCGCAAAAGCAAGGGTGTTTGTTTATAGTAGTAACTGACACGCGAACACCCAGCAAAGCAAATCACAGGGAGCTCTGGCAGAGACCGGTTTCTGCCCTGCTCTCATTATTACTGACCAGCCTCCGAATGTCCCGTTCTGACTCCCACTTGATCTTCGAGATGGCTTCCTGGTGGGACTGATGCTCACTCCTAAGGTCCCCAGCCTTGATTTTATCCGCCTGGATCATATTGCTCAGAGCCTCATCCACCTGCTTCTTGGCAGTTTTCAGGTCTGTAATTTCCTGCAAGAGCTTCAGGCGCTCTGCATCGAACTGTTTCCGGGCCTCCTCCCGGGCCTCAATGGTGAGTGCTGTCCTTACTTTATCGCTGCTGCCATCCCGGAGAGCGCACAGAGCAGACTTGAGTCTCTGGATCTCCCCATCCCGCACCTTCACTGTCCTTGACATTTCCTGCTCATGCTGCTTGATGAGATTCTCCCTCACAGCCTGCAGCTCCTTCATCTTCTCCTCATGGAGCTTGGCTTTGAGCTCCGTCACCAGGACCGTGTGTTTGCGCTGCTCCAACTCACGAATCCTCTTTGCTTCTTGCGTCTTCTCTCTTTCAAGCTTTGATACCTGGAGGCAGAGAGGTGAAAGGATGAAAAAAGCATGAGCCTCAAAGAGAACTCGTGCTCCCAGGCAGGATCTTGCAGCTTAGGCTGCTGTGATCTCTTAATACCTTATTTATTTAAAAAAAAAAAGTCCAAGCTACTATATGCTCAGAGAAAAAGAAAGCACAGGCCTTAAGAAGAGGCTGCTATGGTGTGTAAAAGGCAGAAAGCTCTGAGATATTTATCTTAGTGTGTTCAGCCAGATGCTTGATATTCTGGGGCCTTCTTAATCAGCACTGTGGTCCACAGATTAGCAGCTCCAGAGACACCCAGAAGCTTGTTAGACCTGCAGAATCCTGGGTTCCCCACCAAACCCATACATCAGAATGTGTCTTTTAACAACCAGGCCACTGGTTTACCCAATCCAAGTGGGCAGCTTTGCTGGGGTAGTGGGGTAGGTCTCCCATTGGCAGAGAGGGGTCTATAACTACCAGCAGCACAACTCTGGTTCCACCCAAATCCATACATGCAGACATCTCAGGATAGCTCAAAGCTTGCTATATATACTTGCTATATATACTGCAATAAGGCAAATAAATAGGTGCCTAAATTGTTATTAAATAATGTCCCTTGTTATCATATAGGAAGGGGCATACAGGTGGAGAACAGCCTGCTGGTAATAGAGAAGGGAAAAACGAAGATAGTTATAATAGCAATGGCTTTATCTTGCTTTGTATAATAACTATGTTCTGTTCCCCAACTTGTATATATCCACATACATGCACACGAGGCAGCCAATTAGACAGCACCCCCAAAGCCTATAGTCTGTTAAGTTCTGCTCTAATTACAGGACTTTGGGGGTTTCTAATTCTGCATGCTGCAGGAGGTCTCTTTGTATCTTTCTCTTTGTATCTTTCTCTAGTCTCACTCCTATCCCCTGACCTTAGTGCCACCCAAGCCAAACACTCCAAGAATTTCTTCTGATCTTCCCACCTTTCAAGAATTCGGCTGAAAATCATCTTCTGAGTTTTGTTGCGTTACATTTGTTACAGTGACAGTATTAGATCTTCTTGCCGGTTTGTGCTCTTTAAGTCTCTGATTTAACAGGTCACTATGATGTGGCAGCGGGCCACCTCAGCAGCATGAAAAGGTCCCTTTGTGATCCTGCGCTGTTCCCTCCCCCACTCAGTTCTGTTACCTGTGTATGTCTTCTCCATTTCTTTGCTTTGGTGGACACACACACACACACACACACACACACACACACACACACGAGTTTGAAAAAGTGAAAACAATTTGGGAGTCCCAGGGGTATTACCTAGTTGAGTGACAGAGAGTCTCTGCCATTTTCTCTAGTTGGAAAGCTTTAATATAATATATTTTTTAATGTTTATTGAAAACAGCCTCCTCCCCCCATACAATATATTCTGATGGTGGTTTCCCCTCTCCCAAAATTTGAGGGCTTTTCAACCTAAAAGTGTTTGAAGAGTCAACGTCCCTTTTAAAATCATTACAGTATAGAGTGTCTGGGATTTTCACTTACCTCCGCCACTTACCTGTCTTCAGCTATAGCAGTATTTTCTAAGTGAAGTAATGTTTGAAGAACACATGTTTTTTTAACATACAGCAATTAATCTCACGACAGTTATCCTATAAGGGTGGAGAACCCAAGAGGACTTGGTAGAGCAGCACTAAGTTGTGTTCAAATGACTATCTTCTGATCCCTCCTCAGCTTACTGTCCAGCACAGTGACCACTGGCTACACTGAACACTTGTAATGCTGCAAGCTTGCCATTTGCAAAATACACTCTGGATTTTTATCACAAGACAGAGTTTCTTGTTAGTCCTCTTATAATATCTATGTGTTGAAATGATACTATTTTGTATGAATTATATTGAACAGACTCTATTAGGGAAAGCAACTGATCCCTTTCACTTTTTAAATTTTCAGCCATAAGGAAATGTATTAAAGGTTTCATATCTGGCACACATTTGCAGTCCACACTCTATTTCTTTTTCCAGTGTTGCTCCAAAGTTCCTTGGGGTTCCTTTGGCACACTTGACTTCCTTCACACTGCTAGTGATGCTCTCTTAGGAAACCCCGGGCCTGGAAGTACTGCTGTAGCGGCTCCTCCACACTGAGGACAGAATCCCCACACTTCAGCCTTGCCAATCAAGCCCCTGTGCAGCCTGGGCTGGAGGACTTCCTTCCTCCTTCTCCTCATCTGCCCCTGCTCCAGATAAAAGGGAATACGCTATCTTCTGCACATGGTATAAAGTTGTACCTGTCTGCTTACAGTTTCTTCTCCCTGATGGCTCCTCCTTTGTCTCTTTGGGATTCTCACATTCCTCCTGGCCCAGCTACATAGCATCCTTTCCTGTCATGTGACCTGACTGCTTAGGGTTAAGCTCATATCTGCTGTTTTTGTCTTCTCTGTGCACTTTGTTGGTCCTTAATACATTTTTATTTATGTTACAGGTTTTGTGCATGGTTCTCTCTCATCCCCATCTCCTCTTATCCTGCCCCCCAGGTGGACACTCCTAAGAGACTACCACTGTATATCCACTGATTGCTGGCACAGCACAATAAGGAGCAAGAAGGCACAGGTGCAATTAAAGGCCATATGCCATTGTTTCCTAGCTAGCCCCATAGGCAGAGTCATGAATAATAAACGCTGTCATACAGTTTAGAGAACATAGGCTTAGGGAGTTACCTGGGTAACGATGCATCCACTCATCCCTTGTAAAACACAGAATCTCTACCAGATAAGAATAACCTACTTCTGTTCTGAATGCCCCCCCCCCCTTTTTGGTTATTTCGAGACAGATTTCTCTGTGCTTTTTATTTGTTTATTTTGTTTGTTGTTAGCTCTGGCTGTGCTAGAACTCAATCCGTAGACCAGGTTGGTCTCAAACTCACAGAGATCTGCCTGCCTTTGCCTCCCAAGCAACGAGATTCCAGGCATGCACCACCATCGTCCGGCTGCCTCTCTGTTCTGGACAATCTAGATCTTATTCTCATCTTTCCAGACTAAACAGAAGATGGTATCTTCCAGGAATGAGATGAGGAAACTAGAGCCCATAAGCCAAACTGTCTCTGTCTTTGCGGCTAAAGATCTATTGGAATACAGCTGTGCCCATCCATTCACACATCACTTAGGGCTGTTTTCATGATACAGTGATTGAGTACTTTCAGAGACTGCCTGGCCCACAACCCTAAAATATTTAGTGTCTTCTACTTTGTAGGAAGGTTTGTTGATTTCTGTTCTAAATAATGTATTTATTTTTAGAGGAAGGGCTTTTTTTTTTTCTAATTTAGAAACTCGGTGTAGTTTCCTAAGACATTAGAAATATGCCTTTAAGTTGAGTGATGGGAACTCAGTCTCAACAGTGTTTGTAGTAGCATTAGGAAGAGCATCATGACCACAAGGGTACTGGGTCACAAAGTACAAGGCAAGCAACACTCCACAGGACAGTGACAAACTGTAATGAAAATGGACAATGAGTAAAGTGTTGTGGGTTTCCATTTCTGTTTCACTATCTAAGAAAAGTGTTCAAAAATGCCTGTGATAGGTATTTCCAGGACTCAGTTTAAAATGCATGGTAAAATAACTTGAACTGTAAAGCACTGCAGTATATAAAGCAATATTAGAAATGACAGGAGACACTCCACCCTAAATGACTTATGTTAAATTCTCTGGAGGTACTTAACGTAGCATCTCCCTGTGATTCTGTCTGAGATTGTGCTGTTTCTCTCAGATTATAAATAGTAATCTCTCATGTGTGTCTGCAGGAAGGCAGATTAAAAGAAGAAAAAAGGTAGACCATGAAAATACAGCTGTGTGGAGAACATATTCCAACCCAAAGAGAAAACTAACATAAACAGAAGCTGGTCATGGTGCCAGTCACTCGGGAGAATTCACAAAACAAAGAAACGGTTCACATTTGTTTCAGTTGCCATGGAAACTGCCGTTATTTGCAGGATTTCTTGACATGATTCGTTTTCCCTTTAAACTCCTCCGGGAAAGTGCTTCGCTTTGAGGGAGAGCCAAAGGATGCGATTTGGGGGACGGACGGATGTGAGAGGCCATAGCAGTTGTGTGGCCAAGTCTCTTTCTGAACTCATTTATACAGATTTAGGCATTAAGGCAGAAGGTTTAACTATCCTAATATAAATCTTGAGATGTATGATGACACAAAAGAGCTATTGCTGAGTAGAAATGTAAATACGAACACATGATAACATTTTGAAGTGGAGAAAAGTATTTAGTAAACAAAAATCATTTTGAACAGTGAGGATGTTTTGCAGTGATAACAAGCTCAGCCATGGGTGTGCTGTGTTCCTATGTGTTTTACTAATTGACACCTTTCTAAATGGGCATTGTACGTATTAGTACATCTAGCCGCCAGGCCGGCCCTGTGGTGCTTGTTTCCCCACAATTTCAGGGGAGAAAGTAAGGAACACTCTCTACATGAGCAAATAAATTAGACCAGTGTGGCCAAGAGCCAAGTCGGGCCTACAGCCCAGGCCTGCCTCCTCTCAAATTTTCGGCAGGCTCCTCTGCCTCTGTCGGCCTTTGTTCATTCCCACTGGCATATTGGGATGATGCTCTCTTTCTCATCTGGTTGTGGTGAAGATGACTCAATGTATCAAAAGCGAGTGACTAAGCAACAGTAGATACTATCATGTTCATTTTGAAAATATTGTTGCATATGGTAATATATTATACAGTGTTATATCAAGCCACCACCACCAACAAAAATGCAAATGCCCATAATGTATGACTAACATTGCTATACCACATGAAGACTGTAGCAACTGTTTCCCAAATAGAAAGAAATGTCCAAAGGGAAACCTGGGTTTCCTTGGGTGCCCTGAGTTCCCTGGTGTTGGTGGCATAGGGTTTTGACTTGGAAGACATCGGGAATGCGCATAGCCATAAAGGGGAGGGGAGGGGGTGGGACGGCAAGGACTTGGGACACTGAACAAGGCTACAAAGATGAACTTTCAAATCCTTCCTGCCCTCAAGATTCTATGGGAGAAAGAGGTCACTAAGAAAAACTAATCCCGGTTTTAGAGGTTTCAGTGGGACACAAGGAAGAGGCAGCACGACCGGTTTATGTAGAGCTCACGCTGTGTTTTCCGTCGGCAATTCTAGTCTGGCCTTTGGAAATGCCCGCACAAACTCTGCCAAGATACACTTGGCGGTGACTGGAGTTTTAATGTACTCTTAGAAGGCAGGGATTAAAAATCGCAGCGGAGTTAAGGGTGAGGAAAGGGCTGTGGGGTTATCTAGACAGGTCAAGCTATCAGAAGCTGAGGCTTGGATTATCTGCATTGCTTGTTCCTGGAGAGTAAATTCACAGTCAACCAGCAGGGATTGTCACGGAGCCTAGGAACTTCCAGACACAAGGGCTGAGAGGGAAGACAGCAGCAAGCAGGCTGCTATGATGGGGAATCTTTTAATACCTCGAGGAGCTATCCTTTCTTTCTCTCCCTTCCTCTCCCCCCTCCCCTCCCATGCCCTCTCCCCTTCTCCTTCTCTCCCCCCACCCCCTGCCCTCCCTTCCTCCTCCCTTCCCTCTTCTCTGGAATCTTTATTCAGCTATGCCTCTTGAAAAAAGAAGCAAAGGTGCAGAAAGGAAAGAATACCCCACTCCAAATTTGAGCCTCCAACCAGAGGTTCTGAGACCTGAAGAGAGAGAAGGTTGGGTGCTTTTTTCAAGGGGTGGGGATGGGATGGGCAGAGGTTGGGTGTTCAAGCGCTCCCCTGGTCTCTTCTATTTCCTAGAAGGGAATCGACATTTTGGAACCCCCCACTTGCTGCCACCAGAGAGCAAGTGAGTTAAGCGTCTTGAAGCTCATGTTCTTCCCCCAGTGGAAGCAGAATGCTAACCACAGACTGCCTTTGTCCCAAACATGCTGTGAAGACCAAGAGGCCGGGTGTCAGCTGCTTTGCAGCCTGCGGGGCTGCTTCCACTGGCTGCTTCTATTTGCAGCCACTGCTTCCCAGGCCCTGCACCCTAGGGTGGCTGGCTGCAGCCTGTAGCTCAGAAATCCTGTTCTCTGCTCCCATCCCTTCTTCCCTTCTGTCTGTCACCTGGCCCATACTGCTCATTAAAACTGTATTCCAGCTCCGAGGGAAGGCACATTCCCTGGAGAGGCCAGTGGGTGAATTTCTTATCCCATAGCAATCCAAGGTGAGCACGGGATTGTGGCCTCATGGTATCCACAGTCGGGAAAATATCCATGTACTTAGTGGCCTGGGAGTGCTGATTCAAAGAAAATACAGGCCTTTTTTCACTCAGGCCTGAGCTTTCCTATCCAAATACTATAATAGTAATGTTAACACAGAGATGTCAGGAAAGCGTTTAAAAAGTCATGCAGGTTCATTTAGTAAGTAGTTTTGAGCACCACCTGCACACCAGGTAGGTACTTTCTTCATACAAACAGAAATAGTAACAATGCCTGCCTGAGAGGTGGGAACTGAGGGTCATAAGAGATAATGGCACAGCACACTTTCCACGTTTGACACCGACTACCTCCTCCCGCCTGCCTTCACTCTCTCTCACACTCAGCAGAAGCAGGCATCTCTGCAGTCCCACTTGACAGATGAGGGAAAGAAAGCAAAGTTGGACTCCAAGACCTGCTCAGGGTGAGTCAGGTGCTGAGTGGTAGAGCTGGGACAGTGACAAGATGAAGTGTGCATGTGAGAGTGTGTGATGGATAGTGTACACTGGTGCAAGTTATAGCTAGCTATTTATAACACCAACCAAAGCATTCACGATGGACTCTGTTCTCTGCACACTGGGCATTCTGTAAATGCAAATAGCATGATGTGATTTGCTGGGAAAATGAGTAATGGCCCATCACCTCAAAGGTTTTCAGGCTTTACTCCATTCCCTCCAAGTAGCTGAATTGTCATTTTTATCTTAAGAGCCTCAGGGTTAAACAGAGAGTGTAAATTTATACCTTCGCTTTGATCATTTTCTCCCCTAGAGCCTGATCCTTTGAAAACACAATTGTATTTATCTATAATGAAATTGCTTTATGATTCGTTTGCCCCCCACCATCCCTTTGCTGTTGACGTGCAGAGAGGCTTTGCTCTGACTTCTGTGTTGAGGTTGTAACTAACTGCGAGGGAAAGGGAGGAAGGCAGGGGTACCACGGATAGGGGATGAGAAGGCTGCGTTCTTGATTAAGAGCCCTCCTGCCTTGTCAGAGGAAGACAGAATGACACATGTCTGCCAGTGTGGATGCTGTCCCCGGCAATGGAAGACAGGCCGTTTCATTAAATTCAAGAGCTGTCCATTTTGAAAAGCTTCAGTGTGTGGAATACTGGCACTGGTGGGATCTCTTTCAGAATCTTGTGGTTTTTTTTTTCTTTTTTCCTCTCCTAAGAATTCTTGTAACCATCATTTGTCATGCGGTCTTTACTAAAAGGAGCCTACCTCCCTTCAAATGTTACTTTGCCCCAGGGAAAAGGAAACTGAACGAACTGGACACTGGTGGGTGGCAAGACCTGGGAAAGATGGTACAGTGAGAAACGAATCCTCAAGACTGAGTCCTCTCACTGGACTCTCCTAGGCTGTTTCCTTACATCACGTGTGTAACCAAAATCTTTGACTTGTGGGTTCAGGAACCTCAATTTCTCCTGGGCTTTCCCAGGTTATTCTCTGGCAGAGTGATGTGTGAGAGATGGATGTGCAGGAACAGAATCAGTCATCGAAATTACAGCTAGAGAAACTAAGACACCCAAGTCTGTTTCTAAGAAGAAAAAAAAAACAAAAAACAAAAAACAATGCCTAAAAATTCTGATTCACAAATGAATGCTTTTTAAATGTGAGAATATGTTTCTGATTCACAAATGAATGCCTTTTAAATGTGAGAACATGTTTCTGATTCACAAATGAATGCCTTTGAAATGTGAGAACATGTTTCTCTTTGCTTCACGGGGATATAGACATTTCCTTCATAAACTTTATATTGGAGTTTACTAATAAAGGCCAAACTTCGCTGACATAGGAAGAAATAGCCTCCAACTGATTCTGATCTCATTCATTATTTTCATTGAAATGGGGTAAGAGAGGTTGGGGTAAAATTAAATTTTTACAGAAATTAGAAAAGGATGCTGAAACAATGAAATAAGACATTTGCTACTTTGTGACCAAGAATGTTTTTGTAGTAACAGTTATCTAAATGATGCAATTTTACATTGATATGGTTGTCTCTGGGCGCAGGAATCAAAGCCCAGGATTCAAAGGAGCTGCTGAGTTTGCTGCACAGGAAGACAGCCAGAGCTGGCTGGAGCCATGACCCCAGGTAGCCCCTACTCACCTTGGACTTCTCTTGGTGCAGTTCTATCTGAATGTCTGTCAGCTTGGTCCTGAGGTCTTCGTTGGCAGCTTGGAGGGCGACAATGAGTGCCTCGGGCTTCTCGCCCTTATTTCGCCCTTTCTTAGACATTGTTCCTTGCTAAATGGAGTCTTTTGGATTTTAATCCTCTCAAACAGGTACTGCCATGTTACTGTTTCATTTCCTGGAGTGAGATGTTTCAGCAACTACTGCGTGGTGCTCCTTGCTAAGGTCTTCTCAACCGCTGCCCCAGAAGCCCTAGGGAGAAACAGAGACAACAGTGACTGCTGAAGAAATGAATTTGTGCCAGTCCATCCGCTCCTAGCCAGAGTGGTCTGTACATGTCCTCTCTGAGGCTCTCCTGTCTCCAGAACCTCCTCTATACTATATTTTGTGTCTAACTCACAGTGATACTTCCAATTACATTGACATCTGCTTTGGATCTGTTACCTGAAGCGTATGTCCTTCACATTGCCTAGTGCCCTATTTTGGGAACACCCACCCATTCCTCTGTCTTTTCTCCACGTTATTCATTGATACTCTAGTCATTAAAGTCCTTAAAGGAGGGCACACATATGAAGATGTCCTAGTATTCATACCTCAAAAATACGAAAACACTATGTATGTAGCTGGATATTCTTCAATGCTTAAGATTTGAACAGTGAGGAGTAACTAAGTGGAATGCTGGATTGAGTCATTCACTTAGTTAATATTGTTAGTTACTTTTAAATGCTTTGCTAGTACAATATGTTACTTTTTTTAAAGTCAGAGTTCCATGACAGAAAAAAGTCAAGCTGCCCATCTACCTACTATATATCAGTTATCTACCTAACATCTGTCTATCTCTGCCTGTCTGTCTGCCTGCCTGTCTGCTTGTCTGCCTTCCTTCTTGTCTGTCTATCTATCTGATATACACCTACCTATGTTTATTATTGGCACTGTTATCTATCTTATTTCTCTGATAGGCATTTTGATTGCTTTATTTTTTTTTCTTTGACACAAGGTCTCACTATGTATCTCTGGCTGGCCTGAAACTTGCTTTGTAGACCAAGCTGGATGCAAACTCACAGAGACCTGCCTGCCTTTGCCTCCCAAATGTTACCGCTAGTATTAAAGGTATATGGCATCATAACTAACTCTAATATGTGTTTTTATAAAACAAACAAAGTATTTTACAAGTATAGACAAAGGGCCTTTCTTTCTACCTTCCCTACACATAAGGAAGTGTGCCAGATGACAGCATCCTTGGCCTAGTACATGAGGAGAGGATGGTGCTAACAGATGTCAACACAGCTGAAGCATCCTTGTTGTGGGCCGGCCAGGACACAAGAAGTCTTCCAGCTACACATCCTGGGTCAAGAAAATGGCAGGTGCTGTGACACAAGAGAGAAGAGTCACAGAGACTATTTTGGGGAGGAATAAGATCTAATTAAGCATGGCTCTAATCTGGCTAGTATCCACTACTGCTGGAAATGGTAGCTGGTAGGAGACTCAGAATGATTCCAATCCCAGAGTGTAGGATTCGTCTTCCAGTAAGCAGTGAAGGGGGTGCTGAAGTTCCTGACTGGTAAGCATCTAGCAGGGAAGGGTTTACATGAGGTTATTCTGGTGACAGAGTTGGGAGAGAATGGAGACATGGACACTGGAGAGGAGGTTGCTCGATTTGTTAAGGTAATGGAGGCCTAACCAGAATCCTGACAAGAGGAGAGAAAGGAGGTGCGTCTTAACTACAGGTCCTTAAATACTGCATTGGAACAAAGTGGGAAGTGGAGAAAACTATGAACGGCCAACTGTTAACACCAAGGAGGAGAACATGAGACCAGAGTTCTCATGTATGTTTCCAGAGAGTGGGTAGTGGTGCACTGAGATACTGTTGATGAGAACTAAGAGACTCCTGCTGATCATCCATGTGTTCCAGCAGCTGCTGCTCTCTACAGGCCCTGGTATTTGGCTTCAAGGATTGGGATCCTGGGCTGGGTGCCACCTTTTACAAACACTGTAGCTGTGCCCTTTGGAGCGTCCACAGGGGCCAGGGTCATGGGGAGAAGATGAGCTTGGGGCAAGGGAGAGCAAACTTATCTACATAAATCATGGAATGATATAGCACATTCCACCCTGGCATTGTTACCAGAGCCAAGAACCTGAGGCTACACAGGTTATAGGCCCCAGAAGACAATCAGCTACTATTGCTCTGATAGATGGACATAATATTAAACTGACTCCTGGTTATTTGTTGTTATCCACAGAGATTAGAGCATTTCTCAGATCTCATTAGGGAAGTCTGTTTTTGCAGGAGATGGTGATTGACATAGAGACTCACAACTAGTCCAGGAGTGCACAATAAGAGACTGTGGAGTGCTCAGTCCTAAAGGAGACATCTCTACAGCACTAACAAAACAGTGTATTCAGGATACAACAAGGTAATTACATTTAGTGCTGAGTAGTTTTCTTTCAACTTGACACAAGCTAAAATCATCTGAGAGGAGGGAACCTCAATTGAGGAAATGCCTCCATGAGATTGGGCTGTACAGCAAGCTTGTAGGGCATTTTTATCAATTAGTGATTATTGGATGAGGGCTCAGCCCATTGTGTGTGGGTCCACCCATCGGCTAGTAGTGCTGGATTCTATAAGAATACAGGCTGAGTGAGCCTTGGGGAGCAAGCTGATAAGCAGCACCCCTCCATAGCCTCTGCATCAGCTCCTGCCTTCAAGACCCTGCCCTGATTGAGTTTTCGTCCTGACTTCCTTCAATGATCAACGGGGATTTGGAATTGCAAGTCAAATACACCCTTTCCTCCCCAAGTTTACTTTGGTCATAGCGTTTCATCACGGCAATGGCAACCCTCGTTAGGACACATATGTGAACTCACAGAGGTTGTGACAGCATGCCAAGACCTGCTGCCAGACAAAATCGTAGCAAGGGGAGGGGAGGGTGGGCACAAAGTAACACTGCTAGCTAGGTGAGGAAAACTCATTTTCTTTAAGGGCATAGCCCCCAGGAGGTGAGCAATGCTTCAGTGGGTGGCTATACAGACAGCACAAACTGGCTTTAATAGGTTTAAAAAAAAATAAAATAAAATGAGGACACAAAGTTGAGTGTAGATAGAGGTGGGGATGGATCTGAAGGGAGTTGGGGGTGTACAACCAAAATACTTTTTTTATGAAATTCTCATGCTTTAATAAAAAAAAATATTTGAAGAGTGTATAGTCTACATTTACTGAGGCTGGGCTTTCAAAAGATGTTAAGGAGCATCCATGTCACTCTTTTCCAGTAGTGGCTTCTAGCTTTTATGATGGGACTTACATCAACAGAGACAAAACACATTCCAGGAAGCAATGAATGGGTGAATGGTCAAAGCACAGGAGAAAGTTGGAGCAGATTAAGTAGGCGCGAACACTTTCTCAAACAGCTGGTGTGGAAGCCAATCCCCCCATCACACTGCCTCTCTCTAAATGCCTGGCACAGTACCACACACGAGTTACTCAGCTGCTCCAGTCAAACCCTTTTTGGCATTCACTCATTATGTTTTAGACCGAGAAGAAAAGAGGTTAGCTAGCCTGGAAAGTGTTGTTCAGCTATGAAATGGTAGAGCCTACACTCAAATGCACATCTGTCAGCCTATGAAGCTTTTTAGCTACAGTAAGACTTTCTTAAAGAGATAGCAGGATTCAGATCCAGCTGCCAGCAGGCTACAGAGAGGGCACAGGATACAAGTTATATCTGAGGCTTAATGAAATGGAATGGTAGGAGGTGGTCAAGACCCTGGAATTTGAAATGAGAAAAAAAAAACTAGCTATTAATTATGTTTCCTTATTGTATATTCTTGAGCAATTAAATTCTCTAAGCTTCTACACTCTTGCTGTAAAATTTGGACTATAATGAGCTTACCATACTGGGCTCTTTCAAAGAATAAATGCATTGAAGTGTGTGATGAAAACATTAGCAAATATTATTGTATTTACAGTTCTTCAAGGACTTAACACTCTGCTAAACAGCAGCTAAAACATAAAGGGCAGAACTAACAAATTTATCATTCCTTTGTTTAAAAAGAAGGGACAGGAAAGGTGCAGAGACCCTGGAAAAGAGCAAAGAAATGCATGCTTATGCTTGCAGGGCAGTGAGGCTGTCATTGACAGGATAAGTACTCCCAAGGGGTCTTTGGCTTTGTGGCTGCTTCTGCCTCAAGCTAGAAGCTGAATAAAGTCGTAATTAACCTCAAGCCTTCCACTCAGGCTGTTGCCGCTGAGTTACGATTTGAAAGCAACGTGATATGAAATAACTAGGGTTCGCATGCGTGGAGCCAAATGCTCCAGCAGTTCCGAATAATAGATAGTGGAAAATGTCCATCCAAAGGAAGCTTTGAGAGCTTGTCTCAGCCTCTCTTCTTCCCAAAGTTGATGCTCTTGAGTGAGATGCTGTCAGTGTTTAACACGTCTGAATTACACTTGAGCACATTATGCCTGCCAGCCAGCAGAGGCATGCTACAGCCCTCAGCCCCTCCCCAAATGCAGAAGCGCTTCATTGTGTGCTCATGAGTGTGGCACAAAAATGCAATATACAGGCCGGCCGCTTAAGTCATTTTTAACTCTGGAGATCTAGTTTCCCTATATGGAGGGATTGCTGTTGTGTGCCTGGAGACAGAAGGGGGGTGGGGGCAGCTCTCCAAACCGCTGCACCTGTGTGAGGTGTTGATATTCAGTACAATAGTAATTATGCACCTTCACAGGGTGGTAAGATGTTGGGCTTGTAGGTTTACACTTTTTAAGCTCTACTCTTTCACCAAATTGCCTTCTTTTTCACATGAAAATAGCAAATATTAAGAATTAGTTAAAGTTTAATGCCATCAATACCACTCAAATTCAGCGTTCTTGGTCTTTTTTGTTTGTTTGCTTGTTCGTTTTTGTTTTTGTTGTTGTTGTTGTTTTGTTTTTATAGATGTCCCGTCAAAATTTCATTTTCAAATCACATTTATAAACTGTAGGGAGGTAAAGAGCTCTTTCCACACATGTGAGAAACATCTATTCTCTCTAAGGGGGATTTCCAGGGACACCCAATGGTAGCAGCGTCTGGTGGGAGGTGAAGGCCTAAGCAGATGACATTCATCTACGGTAAACTTTTGAACTGGGACATGTAGTTCTTTGCCTGACTTCTCCCCTTTCTTCCCTCAACTCCCTGGTGACGTCCCTTCAGCTTTCTCTTTGAAAACCAGATCAACTGTCACTTCTTGTCACTTTCCTTCACACCTTTTCACTCTAC